GGTCTCCATGTTCCCATTGCCCTCAGCCCCGCCTCGCCAGGGTCAGACAGAAGGGGAAGGGAGAGCTGCCCTTCCTATCTGAGGCTAACGCCCCTTCTCCACTCCCAAGACTTGGCTCGGCGCCTGTCTTCACCAGCACCCCCTCTAGTGGCCAGCCTACATAGAGGATAAAAGTCTCACTATCGCTGCTGGCAGAGGGAGCGATCCCTTTAGCTCGGAGACCCCCAGGTCCAACTCCAGCGGCTGCCCCACCTGAGATATCGACTCAGCTCCCACCAGGCCCACGCTGCTGGGGTGTTGCCTGTTCCCACAGCACCCCGGATCCGTGGGGTGGCACTTACTGGGCTGGTAGGTCTGTGGGCTCTCCGTGGGCGTGGCGAGGTAGAGGGTGTAGTGAGTGATGTGCCCGTTGCGCTGCGCCAGGGGGATCGCCTCCCAGGAGATGATGGACGCCTCCTTGGAGATGCTATGATCCTGCAGGCCCTGGGGCCCTGCCGATGGCACTGGGGAGAAAGGAGAGGGGATGGGCTGTGAGTGACAGCCAGCACTACCCATCCTACCTTCCTTAGTGCCCAGCGAGTGCCAATCAGGGTGGGACGGGGGCTGTGCACCTACCTCCTTCCTGGGTGTAGGCTCGGACAGGGGCCGATGCACCAAAGCCCCCGGGGTACAGCCCGTACACGCGGACCTGATACGGCACCCGAGGTCTGAAGTCACCTGGGGCGGGGGAGCGAAGGGAGACAGGGTCAGTTCCCAGGGCGAGCTGCCAATCTGAGCGGTCGCTGGCTTAGAAGCACAAAGTAGAAATTCCCTGCCCTTCTCGGGCACCTCACAACCGAGCCCCACAGCTCTGGCCTCCCCTCCCCGTCCTCGGTGCAGCAGGGTTCCGAGGCTCATCTTACAAATGGGGAAACTGAGGCACCCAGCAATTTTGTGCATGGGCCCAGGATAGGGCCCAGGAGTTATGACTCCCAGCCCTCCCTCCTTTAACCACTAGACCTTACTCCCCATTTCCAGAGCTGGGAATAGAACCCGGGAGCCTTGACTCCTGTCCTATCCCTACTTTAACCCACTAGACCCCACTCCCCACCCACAGCCAGAGATAGAACCCAGGAG